GCGATGATAACATATCCTTTCCCGCTCATTATCGCAGCCCCTGTTCGCCGCTTTAACGACTCTTCTTTCAAACCGCTAGACAAAAACAAAAACAAGACTTTGTTGGGCTACTGTATAAAACCTGGAACTCAACACTATTCCAGACAATTGGAATTGAAAAAGTTTCCTGGATGGGAAGAGAAACGTCTTCAAACTTGGAAACAAAGTCCAGTGGATTGTTTTTAATTTTCTGTTTTTGGAATAACAAATAAAATGTTTTATCCGTGTGAAAAATATTCTTATTACCCAACACCATGTAGAAGCACAGAGAGTGATGTGATAGTTACAATCCATTTTCCTGCAGTTTAGCAGGTTCACTACTGTTTAAGGCAATGCTAGCGTGAGCGGCTAACTGCCATAGAACTATTTGAGCTCTGTGGGTCACCATTGCTCTTTGAAATGTTACCCTTTAGTTTTCAGAACTCCCTCATCTATACGGCTCTGGCTGCAGCTAAGAAAAAAACAGAAGAGGCGGGATTTCCTGGAGAGTAGCCAATCACACGCAGTTTACTTTGCGACAAAAGTTGACATGAGTGAACAGAAACGGGTCCCAATGTGACAGGCAAGTAGTTTATGTGCATGTGTTATAAATAAAACAGATTATATTGGTATTTATTACACATATGTACATTTTGCAGAATTCAGAGTCCATACCTGTCGTTGTAGAGCCAGGCGAGAAACCCCGTGCTGTTCCAGTACTTATCCGGAGCCCCTCCGTCTCCGTCAGACCACAGCACCTCTGGTTTGTACTTGGCAACGAGCTCGTAAAGCTCCGGGAGCGTTTTAGTGTTGGGAAAGGTGGTGGTAGTGAAGAGGTTGGCGGCATCCTGCTCAAAGAGCGGGTTGAACCACTCAAACAGAGAATGATACAGCCCCAAACGAATACCACCGTGGGCACGCACGGCACTCGCCACTTCATCCACCAGGTCTCGCTTTGGTCCCACATCTACAGCGTTCCAGTTCCAGGAGCTTTTTGAGCCCCAAAGTGTAAAACCTGTGAGAACACCGAGACAAGAGCGCAGTTCATGACATTACAGACAGAAACGCCGCCATCAAAGGTCTTCGCTCGTTTACCTTCATGGTGTTTTGTGGTCAAGACGATGTACTTTGCCCCTGATGCGGCAAAGATGTCTGTCCACTGTTTGGCATCAAAGAACTCAGCAGTAAACTGTGGTGCAAAATCTTGGTACTTGAAGTCTGGAGGATAGTTTTTCTGCATGAAATCGACATATGCCTTCAGCTTTTGTTTCTGCCAGTAGCACCTGGAAAACAAACCAGAACCCAAACAAACATGGAAGATAAGATAGCTTTAAATTTAAAGAGTGACATTTCAGACACGGTTATGGAGTAAAAATTCACATAAACTCAACCCCCGATGATAATGCTGTCATAGAGCAGGTTTTTAGAGCTCTATTGTAACTGAAATGTATTTTCTGGTGTTTGCCGTCATCTCCAACTGAGTTCTAGGGTTTTATGGCCGTTCTTCAGCAATGCATCAAAAAATCAAGTTATGACAGAAATCTGAGGTTTTCCAGCTTGTCCCTTTCTGATGACTGGCCATTACAGAGGTCACTTTAATAACACTCTGCAATTATCATTACTGAGAGACCAAGGCTTACAGTCAGCTTTTCATAATCAGCTGGGCATGAAGCTGTTCTACTGTATTTGATGTTATGTGTTGGCATGTCTTGTTTTTCATTCTGGAAAGAAGAGAGCAAGGTTTTCTGCAGAAAACAGGAAGGCTAAATGCACCAGTACAGGCATAGCTGCTGGCCCGGACAACATCCCCGGACGGGTTCTGAGGGACTGTGCTGATCAGCTCTGCGAGGTCCTAGCAGACATTTATAATGTCTCCCTTTTTCGAGCGGCTGTTCCCGCCTGCCTGAAGACCGCCACTATCATCCCGGTTCCAAAGAGCTCCACAGTGATGGGTCTGAATGACTATCGGCCAATAGCCCTCACGCCGATAGT